ATTTTCCAGGCAAGAGTACTGGAGTGGGTTGCCATTGCCTTCTCCTAAAGATCTCTAAATCCTGGTAATTGCTACCACACTATGTTTCTACCAGTTTGAGAGATTTCCAAGGTTTCAGAAAGGCTAAGAAGGAGTTGAGAAATGGAGGAAACAGAAGAAGACATGGCTTTTAAATTTAGCGTTGGGAGAGAAATTTGGAACTCTTAGGTGGGGGCGGGGGGGCGGAATCTACTTTTCTGATAGTTACAATAGGACATTTCTGCTCTTATCTGATTATCAACAGTTACCTGGAGAAGAAGGGACAGGCACAGAGAAACTGGGAGGTGGGGTACTGGACACTAGAATCTCTTGCCATGGGTGTTGGCATTGGGAGCATGAGACATACAAGTACCTACAGAATGCAATCTTGGGATTCCAGGCATTTCTCTTTCTGCTAGGAGGGCTGTTGGAAGGCTGGGTGAATTTAGGGATGTCCATGTTGTAGGGGTCCTATTTAGTGGCAGAGCTTAGACTAACGCTGTGCAGTAGAACTTTAATATGGGTCACATACATAATTTAAAATCTAGTGCCTGCATGCATGCTAGGTCACTTTCAGTTGTGTCTGATTCTTTGCGACCCTATGGACCATAGCCCACCAGGCTCCTCTGTCCATGGGATTCTCCAAGCAAGAATACTGGAGTGGGTTGCCATGCCCTCCTCCAGGGGATCTTCCGGACCCAGGGATTGAACTGGCATCTTTTACGTCTCCTGCATTGGATGGCGGGTTCTTTACCACTAGCGCCACTTGGGAAGCCCCAAACCTTCTATTAGCCACATTTTTAAAAGAACTAGGTGAAACTAACTTTAATAATGCATTTTATTTAACCCAAGCTATTCAAAATATTATATCCCTTCAACATGCAGTCAATGTAACATTATTTTAAATTTGTTTTAGCTTTGGTGTTAAATATGAAATTTGTTATGCGATTTGCAGTTGACAAATCTGTCGATACTCGTCACATTTCAAGTATGTTTTAGCGGAGAATTCACTGGTGGTTCAGTGGTTAGGACTCAAACTTCTGTTGCATGGGGCACAGGTTCTATCCCTGGTTGGGGAAATAAGATCCCTCATGCTGCAAGGCCAAAAAGCAAAAGAAATTTTAAAAAATCAAGTGTTCAGTAGTGGCATGTGGTTGGTGGTCACCAAGTGGGCAGTGCAGGCTTAGAGAGTACCTAACCTTGATTGGTCACAGGCAGCAGGATCTTTGATGGGGGAATCCAGACATCGTGGTTCCCACTCTTGATTGTTCTTACACCTTGACTTAGGAGTCCTTGTTTTTCTGTGAGACTAGAGACATGTCCCCAGTTCCCATGGGTCAGAAGAATGGCATATCTATTGCAGGGTATCTGTTTCAGGCTCTGTGAAGTCCAGTTGTACAATTACTTCTACCTGCAACACTCTCCTTAAGTGCCTCTTGCTGAGTTGCCAGTGAGCTCCTGGCTGTCAAACCAGCTGTTTCCAGGGAAACATTCCCTGGCTTCTCTGTTGCACTGCTGCTGTGGCCTTTTTCCTTGACTCACCTCCCCTGAGTTGCTTCCTACCTCTCTGATTCTTCTTTCTTCTCCGTGGCTTAGCACTCCCCATCCTTCTTTTTCGTGTTAATGGTCTCCTGAGTGCTGCCCCTGGTCCTCTGACCTCTCACTCTACACTCAGGGAGGCCTGGGTAATCTTTCTTCACTTGTATCATCTTTACTTACAAGGATCTTAAGTTTCTCTCTTCTGCTCTAAACTCTCCTGAGCTCTGGACTTAAATATCTATCCAATTGTCTACTGGAGTCCTGTCTCCTTTGAAAGATCTTGAAGACACTGGGAATTCAACAAGGCAAAATTGCACTGATAACCTTTCCCCTCAATGTATTATTTCTCCATTTGTATTATTAATTTGGTGAATGGCATCACTGGTTATCTGGTCACTGAAAGCAGAAACCTGGGATCAACAGGACTCCTGTTCAATTCCCATATCTCATTATTAACAAGTCCCACTAATTCTGCATTCTAAAGAATTCTGCCTCTTTTTCTCTTTGACACCACTTAAGTTCAGTGCTCACTGTTTTTTGGCCTCACTGATCAGCTTTTGGGATCTTAGTTTCCCAAGCAGGGATTGAACATGGGCCACTGCAGTGACAGTGCCAAGCTCTGACCATTGGACCACCAGGAAACTCCCTAGTTCTGGGCTCAATGGTCTAGCCTGGGTTATTACAGTGGGTTCCTAATTGGTTTCTTTGGACTTTCATGATCTTGCAATAGAGTGTAAGCTTTTTGAGCGTACACATTCCTGTCTGTTCATGCAGCTTCCTAGTGCTTAGAACAGCACCTAGCACATGGTAGGCACTCAGTGAGGATTTGTTGAGGATATGTATGAGTAGATGTCTATGATCCATCTGTCCAGCTTCACTTCCCACGTCACATCCAATCCAATTCAGAGTTAAGTGAGAATCAAGATTTCTTAGCGTTAAAGGTTGGGATTTCTTAGTGAGTTCGGTCTTCACCATTTTGTCCTGTCTGCCTGCACACACTAAGCTAACAAGTACACATTGATTAAGACTCAGCCCCCATGTCATTATCCACAGGAAGCTTTGTCTCCTCGATTCTTGATTAATTAAGTACCCCTTCTCTCAAGCTGCTTATCACTGAGAGAGAAGAAAAACTTGCAGACACGATATAGTGAGTTTTGACAAAGTGCTAGCATGTGGTACCTCAGAGGATAATGAAGGGGATGAAGAAAGGCTTCACGAGGAGGTGTGTTTTGAGGCGAAAGCATGTGCTCAGAGGCATACAAAAGCAGTGCCTATTTCTGTGGAGTGGTTCTGTAAAACTGGAGCCCAGGGTTCCTTAGGGTAGGATGGGAAATGGAAAGGCGAGTTGGTGAAGTGCCCCGACTGGCACACATTGCATTCCTGTAGGTCACAGGCAGCCACTGAGGTTCTGTAAGGGGGGAGTGATGTTTGGACTCATTCATCCCTCACCAAATACTGACACCTGAGTTCCTATTTGCTGCTACTTGGTCTGAGCCCATTCAGGTCCATCACTTTCTGCAAGAGTATTGGGAAGCAGAGGAAGACAGACGATCCATTACAGGGGGGGAACAGTAGGAAGGCTGAGTTGCCAAATACCACACCGTGAGTAGGAGAAAACTCTGATGGGAACCCAGCTGTCTTCCTCCCCTGCCTGTGCAGTCAATTGCTCTCCCCTGAGCACCCGGTGTCAGGCACTGGCACCTGCGGTAGGCAAATCATAAGTGAGGAAAAGAAATTGTTCTACATTTCCAGGGAACTCCTAGTCTGAAGGTGCAGACTGCACACCAGAAAACATACTAAGGGCAGAGAAAGGAGGGGCTGGAAATTTCTAGATACCCAGGTTGAGGGGTCTGATGAGGGACTGGGGGCCTCATGAAGGAGGAAAGTGCGGAGTAGATTGGGAAGGTGAAGCAGAACTGGGCTGGGGAGAAGGGAAAGAGGTGAAAATGACCTGTGTAGCTGTGGAGGTGGGAAAGAGTGAAACTTACACTACACTCCTAGGAAGCACTTTAAGTCTGGCAGCCTCTGTGTCAGTGGCCTTGTGTAGCTACCCATGTGGCTCCTGCCAGGGTGTGTGTGGCTTTGCAGGGGCTGTGGGGTGGCAGTAAAGCCCTGGGCCCCTCTTTCTGCTTCCCTTCCTCCTCTTTTGCACTGGGGGGATACCCTTATAGAAGCAGGATGTCTGGGTTCCAGATTCTTCCTTCCCCAACCTCCCCCAGACATAAATCACAAGTGATTTCATTAAATGCACCTCCTGCTGGGGATGTTGGCTCATAATTCCTCTCTGATTAACCCCCACTACCCCAGCAAGTTTATAGGCCAAGAGAGGGAGGGGATAAGGGGGAGGGAAAAAGGAGGGTTGGGGGAATCCCAGGCGGGTGATGGATGCCTCTGTCAGCCCAGCTCGTATTTATTAATAGTCTTAATACGGGAAGCAATAAAGGAAGAGAGGGATTCTATTAATTAAATCATTGTTATAATTAACTTTCATTAAAGGAGGATCAATAAAGAGGAGTAGAGATGGAGAGAGGAGAGATCCATTATCTCTAATTTCCTTGGAAGGGATTCAGGGAATGAGATGGGGTTGCTAGGAGACAGCAACGTGAGAGAAGGAAGGATGTAAGATGTCACCCAGGTGGGGCTGGAAGGGGGTGGGCAAGGAGGTTTCAGGTGGATGCAGAGAGGGAATGGTGGGGGTGGCCCATCCATGGGCCCTGAAGGGAATGGAGGGTGGCTGATAAGGGAGCAACTGGAGTGGAGAACAGTGGGCTGTAGACACGGCTAATGCCGGGTACTGCCGAGAGCCTTGGTGAGCACGTGGGCTCTTAATTCATGCTTTATGATGCTGCGTGTGTGTCTGTCTAGCCTGTGAAGCTGGTTAGGGTGGATGAATGTGTTTTTGTGTTTGTAGAGTCTGCATGTGCATACTGGTTATCTGAGGATTGCAACAGAGGGAGAGAGGGAGGCAGGGTTGGGAGAAATTCAAATAATTCTAGAGGTAGGAGGTTTAGGACATTTTTTTACCAAGCTGATACTCAAAGGGGTGTACTCTTATTGGGAGTAATGTCTGTCCTTTGGCTCAGGTACAGTGAAGGCTACTCTGGAGAGTAAAGGTCTCAGTGGTGGAAACTTCACCCTACTTTCAAGACACACACCTCAGGCCATATCCCAGGTCCCATATTGCTCCACCTTGAAACAACGGTCCCCTCTCCCTCGGCTTACCCCCTCCTGCACTGCACTCAGACCCCCATCTGAGACAAACGTTCCTCTTTCCTCACTTCCCACTGGTGGCCAGCATATGGAAGCATCATGGAAAAATACTGCCAGCCTCCTCCCTAAGGCATGGGGCTGGGGCTGGGGGTGGGGGGGCCCTTCCTCCCTCCCTCTTCCCTCCACCGAGGTCTAAGAGCCAGAGGTCTTGAGCATCTTTTCTCTAGTCACACCTCATGATAAGAACACATTTTATTAGAATAGTTATACATATCATATAAATATATTTGTTCAACTACTGGCAGGGGGAGGGCAATGGGGGGGAGCTCTTATTGCTGAGGGGGGACTTGGTGAGCGAGGGAGGGCTGGCAAGTGGGGACACCTGGGACATTTGTTCCCCCATCCCTCAGAGAAGGCACAAGTACATCATTTCTTTCCATGTGAGGACCCTGGGGGATGGTGGTGGAGAGGGACAGGAGATAAAGTACAGAAAACCTCAAAAATACAAAAGAAACCTCCAAACTTAATATCTAATGGTATGGAAAAGGCTGGGCTGGGGTATGGAAGGCAGCGGGGGAATAGGAGGAGGAACGAGAGAAGCTCAGAACCGGAAGAGACCTAAAGAAGTCATGATGTCAATGCAGGCCCCAGAGAAAACTCAGGTAAACAAACACAGACCCCAAACAAAAGAGGTGGGGGTGTGCCCCAGGAATTGGCTTTGGGGCATCAGAGAGTGTGAGTGTGTGAGTGTGTGTGGTGGTGGTGGTGCAGTGGTTGGCGTGACTAACAGAAGCAACTGGGGCCAGGAGGGGGTGATTCCATTCCCCCTAGAGAAGGCCTCCTCCATCTTGGTTCCTCCAAAACCATTTTCAGGGAGTAAATTCAGCCACTGCCTCCAAGAAGGAACCCCTGCCTGGACAGAAGAGCCAGCTGGGAGAGGATGATGTTGGGGAGCCTGGGGTGAAACCACATGGGAGCGGTTGTCAGGCAACAGAATATCATGGAGCCGAGGGCATTGGAAAAGAGGCATGAAACCGAAGTGTATGTCTATGCATGAGTGTGTGCATGTGTGTAAGTGTGTGTCTGTGTGTGGACTGGGAGTGCAGGGTGGGGTCACTCAAAGGTGAAAGGGTCCTGGGTGCTGAAAAAGAAGTGTCCATCCATGTGGTCCTCCAGGGCATCCTTGTCACTCTCGGCTGGGAAGCGCTCCTTACAAATAGGACACTCCTTCCACGGCGGGGTGCCAGGGCCCCCAGTGCTGGCCTCTGTCAAGGGACCCACAGCAAAGCCACTAGAGAAAGACAGGGGGAAGGAGAGGGTCACAATGCTCTGCGGGCTTCTTGGCTTTCGGACCTCAGGGAGAGGGACCCACACACGTGGGCTCCCAGATGACCCTGTTCCTAAGTCCTCTCCAAGCCTCTCACAGTATCCCTCTCCCCACAGCACTGGAAGCCTCAGCTTCCTGGCTCCCCCGAGCCCTCTTTCCTGTAGTCCCTGATGGTTGCTCTGGTACATAGCCCTTCCCCCAACCTCCTGCTCTCCTCCCTCCATCTCCGTCTGCTGCCTAATGAGGCTGAAAATGACTCTGACATCGTCCTTCATCTTCCTGCTCCAGCCTGGAAGGATGACAGCATCACCTCCTCCTTGCCCTGAGCCCATCTCATATCCAGGCGAAGCTGGGGGCTGGATGATAAAACCTCTCTTGCCTCCCTGCCTTCCCCTCTTGACCTGCGAGGGGAAAAGGGAAGGCAGCGGGGGCACAATCTGACACCTGAATCCCCCACCCAAAGGACTGACCAGGCGAGTCAGAGAGGAGCGGCAGCATCTAAGGGGTGATCAGATGGATGCTGGACCCCAGTCTTCTCTCTGTTCCTGTCCCTGGGGGCCTTGGTCACCTCCCTTCAACCCCTGACAGAGCCTAGGCACTTACCTGGTGGCTGGGGAAGGGGTAGGGGCAGGAGAGAGGGGATGCAGGGCAATGTGGGCTCCGCGGAAGATGGTGCTAGAACAACAGAGAAGCCAGCTAAAGGCAGGGCCTCTGAGTGCACGCGTGCATTGACAGGATGGGGGAGGACTGCCTGAAGGCACCAATGATTTGGGGCAGTGGGTCACTCTCTGTGTCAATACAAGTGCATCTCCTTTTCTTAGCTGGGGCCAAGAAGGGGGAGGGGGTGGAAGGGCATGAGGACTGTTCACCTGGATGCCCTCTCCACGGGCATCCTCCCTGCTGTCTGCCCCCTTGAGCACTCACCTGGCCATGTCATAGAAGGCACTGCCCAGTTCCGGAAGTAGCAGGTTGGCCTCCTCACCCCCACTCTGCACAGCTGCCATCAGGACCGACTTCTCATCTTCAGCCTCCTGGGCACCAAAGGGATAGTGCTGAGTCTTGGGGTAGTGTCCCGAGACGGGGGGAGCAGGGTGCTGGGACAAGTAAGGGAAGAGCAGACTAGGCCAAGGTTACTAACAGGGGGCTGTAGTAAGAGTGGGGCATGAGAAGCATGTTTTGTTTGTTTGTTAATTTATTTGGCTGTACTGGGTCTTGATCATGTCATGTGGGATGTAGTTCCCCAACCAGGGATGGAACATGGGCATTGGGAGCGAGCAATCTTAGCCACTGGACTGCCAGGGAAGTCCCAGGAGAAGCATTTGGATGGGGGCTGGTACACAAGAAGAGAACGGGTATGTGAAGAGGGGGTGGCAGCAGTGAGCTATTGGGTCAGACTGGGTTTTGGGGTGGTGTCTACTGGGTGGTCTTAAAGACAGCCTGGGCCTGCCTCTTCTCCTCCAAAGAAAGCAGGAAGCTAAAGCTGCTCTGGAGGCTGGGCCACTTGGGATTGGGCATACCCCTTGTCCCTGCCCCTGTTCAGTCTCTCCTCTCTGCTCACCGAGTCTGAGCTACTGTCCTCAGCTGGCCCTGAGAGTTGGGGAGCGATGGGGGCTGGCTGGCTGATGACCACGAGGGGAGAAGCCTCTCGTGGCCCCGGGGCAGGGGAGGAGCCCGGGTCTCCACTTTCACACAGCCCATAGGGTGGGAGCCTCATGTCTTCTGGAGACTCGTCCTCCGAGTCTGTCAGAGCCGCTGGGCAGCCTGCAAGCGAGGGAGCAGGCAGAGAAGAAAGAGGGTTGCATCAGCTCTGGCTTCTCTGAAGGAGAAATATAGTTAATAAATTGGGGACCAGGGGCTGGGAAGGAAGAAGGCAAAACACGGAGGGCAGAGGCTGCTCCCAGGGAGGCACATGGTGTTTTCCCAACATGGGGAGGGAGAGCTGGGGGGGGTGGGGGTCACAAGACTGCGGGTGTACAGACTCAGCCCCACGGCGGCCTCCTCGTCTTCTGTGGCAGGGTCCTCACTCCACTTCTCATCGGCCACCTTCTCCAGGCGGGCCTCCAGCTTTCTCATGTACTCCAGCAGTTCCTGGAAGAGGGGAGAAGTGTGAGAGGCTGAGAAGGTATGAACCAGGCAGCCCCACAGAGCCTTCCCCTGGTCCAGGGTGATCTCTGAGCTCCTCAGAATCTGATGCCTTCATCAAAGGGTGGGAGGGTTTAAGGCCGATTTCCACTGCCCACGCCCACCCTGCTTCCCCCAGCAACCCTCCTCTGTCCTGCCAGGTGGGCTTCTAAGAGGAGCCATGGTCCCATTTTTAGCCTCTGGGCGCTTCTTACTGATGTCCATCTCTAAGCCGAGAGATGACAAGAAGACACCAAGCTCCTAGCCCTCAGGTCCTCCACTCAGGCATCCAGGGGCTGGGTTCTGGGCTCTCACCTGCTTCTCCTCCTGTAGTTGCTCCTTTTCTTTCTGGAGCACACGCAGCGCTGAGCGCAGCTCTGTCAGCTCCCGCTTGCTCTCTGACAGCTGCACCTGGGGGGAAACGGCCAGATGGAATCTGGAGACTAGAATGTGCCTCCTAGAACCTGGATGCCACAACATGGAACCACGACTCTTCATGCCTTCGCTCCTCACTTGCCCCGACACATGGGAGGCCTGACTCTCCTCCTCCGAGAGCCCCATCTCAACCGCAGGAGACTCACCTGAGTCCTCGCCTCCACCTCCCAAGTGGGGACTTGGAGGACTGCCTCTGGACTGGGGTGCAGAGGCCTTGGTCAGAGAAGGGCCACCCTAGAATTCTCCTGAGTCATCCCCACTGGACCCAGAATGTGTGCCGAGAGCAGAAACGCACATGGCAGGCTTCTGACCAATGAGGGAGGGGAGGCCTGCAAGTGGAATGCTGCCCACCAGGGAAGTGAGTGCTCAGCACTTCTGAGGCCACAGCCAAGGCAGAGGGAAGGGGCACTGATGCCCCGGGAGGCCCTCGCCTGGGGCTCGTGGGAGGCTGGGTGCCTCACCAGGCTAGAGTCCTTTTCCCGGGCCAGTTCAGTCTTGAAAACTTGGCTCTGAGTCTTCTCCTCCTGCACTGCCTTTTCCAGTCGAAGTATCTCTGCACTCAGCTTCAGGATCTTGTCCTTCTCCGCCTGGAGGTGCAGAAGAGGCAAACGGGAGGGTAAGGGTAAGGGATGCCCTGGTAACAGCTCCACTCCTCACCGTGTCTCTTCTTTATTGGACTGAATGTTTTGGAGCCATTTAGAGACATCTTCCCTTCTTGCCCGCCTCATTCCCCAAAAGAAGGAAGGGCTCTGACAGCAAGGCGCCTTGCTGAGTAGGAATGGGTATCGTGCAGGGCTGGGGCCTAGGTTGGAACATGTATCTGAATCAAGATGTTAACAAAGGCAGGTGCTATGAAGATCAGGAACTGGACACTCCTCGCAGGGAGGGGCCATACCGGGACAGTGAAATACCTCCCTCACGGGTCCTCCCCACCCCTAAGTCCATGAAGGTTCTCACCCTTGTTTCTCTCCCCCCAGGGGATCTGACCACACTGAGGTGGGGGCAGTAGTGACCAGGAGCCTGCAGATCCCCCATCCCACTACCTCCATACTCTGCAGCAGCCCTGCCCGCTCCTTGCTCCACTGGCTTTTTTCCTCCTTCAAGTGCAGACTGAGCTCGGCCAGCCTGCCATTGACTCCGGCCACCTCCAGACGACTGCGGTGCAGCTCGGCTATGGTGCGGTCCCGGGCTCCCGCTGCGCTGGCCAACTCCTCCCCAAGAAGGGCAGCTTTCTGCTGGCTCGAGGCTGCAAGCTCCTGGGCCCCTCGAAGCTGCTCCTTCAGGGGCTCCAGCTCAGCCTCGGGAGAAAGAAGGAGATGGAATCAGGGCTCCCAGGAGTCATCTGTTGAGCCAGGAAGACAACTGGGTTCCTTCCTCTCCCCCATTGCATCAGGATCTCAGGACTGGGTTCTTTAGTCTTGAGCCATGCCTTTCCCCCAATGTGTTTACAACCTGCCCTGGAATGTTCGCTACTTCCTGTTGCCCAGGGGCTTCACTCACCACCCGCTGCTGGGCCTGGCCAAGGGTGTCCTTCATCTGGGCCACCTTGTCCTTCAGTCGCTGGGCCTGAGCACTCTGCTCCTCCTGCCGGCCCTTGGCCTCCTGCAGCTCCAAATTCAAGCGGCGGTTCTCCTGCTGTGCCATCTGGAGCTCAGCCTGGTGGAGGTGGAGAAGGAGGTAAGGAAAGGGAATACATATTTGGGGTGACCGGGCAGATGGACCTCTGTGATGAGAAAAGCCAAGGTTCCACTCCTCAGATTTAACACAAACTCAAGCCTTCAGCCCTGGCCAGCCCTTCCTGGGTTCGCAGCACAAAACAACTCAATCCTGAACGTCCCATCTCCAGTGGCACAGCCTGGGGTCTTATGTGAATCTAGGCATCCCATGCTTCATGTCTGCTCCCCTACACTTCCTTTTAGACCGAAACTCAACTTGGATGTCGCGTAGGCTCTCACACTTGCCATATTCTTCCTCCCACTCCACCCCCATCCTTGCCACTCTTGTTTCTGTCCATGGTACTACTTCCCAAGTCACTGAGACTAGATACCTTGGTGCCATGTGTGGTTCTGTTCTCTTCCTAGCGACCCATCGGAAGGATGCTTCTCCATCCTTCACCTTGTTCACAGCCATTTTCCCTTTTCTGCTGTCACCATGACCATGATCACGTTAGCTCAGGCTCTGGTCATTTGGATCACTGAATAATCTCACAAGGCAATCAGATTAATAGTCTTCTTTTTTCTAGCCATGCCATGCAGCTTGTAGGATCTTAGTTTCCTGATCAGGGACTGAACCCAGGCCCTCAGCGATGAAAGTGCATACTCCTAACCACTGGACTGCCAAGGGATTCCCACATTAATAGTCTCTAAGAACATTCTTTAAGTATAACATGTCCTCTACTTAAAATATCATCAATGCCTCTCACTGCTTATAGAATAAAGACTAAATTCAAGAACCTCTCCAATTTGACTTAGGTCTTACTTCAAACTCTTTACCCACACATTCAACTGCCCTGTGTATTCTCAACTCTAAGCCTTTGCTCATGTCTTCCTCTGTTCCAAGAATGGCCTCCCTCTCATCTCTGTCCATTCAAATTCTACCTACTCTTCACTGCTGAGCAAATGGTTTTCAGACCATCTCCCATGGAAGCCTAGGGTTCTGATGAAGCCATTTGGAAGCTTAAATATTTGATTTCAGTTTCTTCCAAATTATGAAAAATTATGTTGGAAAAACAATGCATAGACTCACGTGTTAGCACACTGGAGATCCCCAAGCACTGACATGTGCTTCCAGGTTACTTCATTTTTGTGAAAACCTCAGAATAAAGTTTCAACTGTATTTTCTTTTTTTTTTAATTTATTTTTTTATTATTATTATTTTTATTTATTTTTATTAGTTGGAGGCTAATTACTTTACAATATTGTAGTGGTTTTTGTCATACATTGACTCAACTGTATTTTCTACTGACCTAAAGACTGAACTGAGATTGCAGGGTAGAAGCTTAAAAATGATCACTTGTACTGGTCTGTATGTGAGACTTAAGGTGTACTCAATACTGTACAATACACGCGATACATAAACAGGTTAGCTGCTGAGGCCAACAAAACAGTCATCCACAACCTCCAATTTCAAAGTTTGGTATCCACCAAAATTATCTAATCGCTTTCATCATTTAATAAGGAAATGTTATACACCTGAATTTACAGATGTAAGTTTACAGTAAAACAACGGATGGACAACTGAGAAGGCAAACCAGCTTGGAGCCCTTACCTCGCTTTCCTCCTTGTCTGTCTGCACTTCCTTCAGCTGCCCAAGCAGCTTCTCTTGTTCCCGAGTCAGGGCCTTCACCGTGTCTCTAACCCTGTGAGTGGTGGACACAATGTCAGGTGACTCATCAGTTTCCAGAGAAGGAACAAAGACTCAAGACTTTGTCATCAGCCCTTCTGCTGGGGCTTGTCTAGCCCAGAACTCCACCTCTCTGGGACACCCAAATTCCCAACACAAAATAATCCAGGTCCAAGCCCCAAGTATCTGAGATTGCTGGCTTTAGAGCACAGTCTAAGAATAGACAGTTGTTCTTTCCTCTCTGTGTATCACTTTGAGGGAAGCTCTGTTGATGGCTTCCTAGTTGTTTGCACTCAATCGAGACTGGAATCTATTTTTTTGTAGACAGGGGCCAGTCATCATTAATGATAAACTTTTGATTTAGGTCAGAAGTCAGCAGGTGTTTTCTGTAAAGGGTCTGAGAGTAAGTATTTTAGGTTCTACAGGCTGTGTGGACTCTGTGGCAACCTCTAAACTCTGCCATGGGAGTGTGGAAAAAGCCAGACACTATGTAAATGAATGAGCCTGGCTGTCTCAATAAAATTTTACTTATGAAAACTGAAATCTGAATTTCATCTGATTTTTACATGTCACATAATAGAACTCTTCTTTTGTTATTCAACCATTAAAAATTGTCAAAACCCTTCTTGGTTTTGTGGGCTATACAAAACCACATGGTAGGCTGGATTTGGCATGTGGGCCACAGTTTGCTGACCCCTGGTCTAGACAGTCCCTGATCTTTTCCAGATGCTTGGTTTGATCCTAACGTTTCTATTCCATGATTTAGAATCTAGACATTTAGTATCTCCCTGGGGCAAGACTAACACATCCTAGACTGAAGAGGCCTTAGGGACTAACTCACTTTTTACTCTGGGTCTTGGATAGCATGCTGCTTTTCTCCAAAGAGTTTTTAAAAAGATATTAAATCTACCAGCACTGAATGAAGGAAACTTAATTATGTCATTTGATGAAAGAAGTGTTTCTCCCAGTGAAAATCTGAAGGAGAGGCAAGGGAGGTGGCCAATATTTGTGCTATCTGGTAGAGAGAATAGTTGTCTAGCAGAAGATAGAAATTTATTCTATGTGGCTCCAGAGGTCTAAACCAGGACCAATCAGGAAAGCTATAGGAGAGTAAATATGACACAAGAGATAAAACAAATGACAGCTTTGTGATAAAGAGGCCACCTTCTGAGGCAGTGATCTTCCCTCACATACCCTCTTAAATACATTACATTTCTCCCAATGCTAAGATTCCTGATTTGTACCTCTTTTCAGGGCAAAGATCCCATAACATTTCTGGATGACCAGTTCTAACATTTCCAGATCACCAGTTCTAACATTTCCTAATACTGAGAACAGAGTCTAATCTTATGCTTTGCTGAAGTAAAATCTGAAATCCATCCTCTCTTATCTTGCCTGGAACATTCTATCCATTCCGTTCTTCCAAATCCTGTACTCCTAGCTCCTGCTTCACCTTTGCTGCACAATAAATACTAATGATTATTTCCAAAGGTAAGGAATACAGAATAGGTTAGGAAAGATGGAAGAGAGCTTGGCAGATGGGGATATCCTCAGGAATTGGAATACCCTGAGTGGGGCTGAGAAGGGAAGGAGAAACCGGCTGGCAGGTCTTGCCTGCCTGACACAGGAGGCTGAGGTTCGAGGGTCACAGGAAGCAAAGGGAAGTGTTGGGGGTGGAAGGGGTCCCCTCACCTGTCCAGCTCCACCTCCTTCATCAGCACTTTCTCACTGATGGTCTGGATGTCATCTTCCAGCTCCAAGATGCGGGCCACATGGTCTCCCTGTTGTCGGCTCAGGATGTCCCTCTCTTCTGTGAGCTCCCCGTGGGACCGGGAAAGCCCCTGGAGTTAAGGTTCCCCAAGAAGAAGAGAGAAGCTGAGACTCACCTTGCAGTGAGTGGACTAAAGGCTTAGAAGGAGAATTCCTAAGTTTGACTATCTACCCTTCTACCCGGTCACCTTCCTTGAAGAAGAAACTGTAAGGGAACATCCCCTTCCAGTGAAGATAGCCACCTCCACCCTATCTCAGCACTTCTGTGACTCAGAGAACTGAGTCTCACTACCAGTTTGGGACAAGTCTCCCATCACAGCCAGTTTACTACTACTTCTGACCCCTTCAGCCTGTATCTTTAATGCCAGAACCATCTTAAGAGCCCACTAACATCTCCCTTTCACTGTCTTCATTTTACTGGGTTTAGATTTTGGACCCCAGATGGGCAGCCAGGACCTTCCCCGCACCGGCCCAACTCTCACCTTATACTGTTCTGCCAGCTCCGCGTGCTCCTCCCTGGCCACGGCCAGAGCCTTCTCAAGCTCCTGCACTTGGCTCTTCAGCTCTGTCACCTGCCCCTCCAGCTGTAGCTTCAGCTGCATCAGGTCATTCCTCTCTTGCTGGCTCTCATCCAGCTGATTCTACGGGGGACAGGATGAGAAGTTGGGTTCTGCCTGTGAAGCGCCCATTCCAAGGTCCTTTCCCCACCACTCTGCAGATGCGTGTCAGGGTGGGGAAGTTACATCAGTACAGGCTACAAAGTGGAGAGTCGGGGAGGCCTGGTGTGCTACCAAATCCTGCCCATCTCCCATCACACATGGGCTCCCTGAACTCCCTGAACTGCTCACTCCTCTTCTCCTCCCCCTGCCCCGAGGCCTTGCCCCTTCTTTGACCACCAATAGCAGGAACTCCTCACCTGGCAGAAGTCTTTCTTAATCCACACAGACAAAAGGGATGGCTCCCCTAATTTTACCCCATTTATTCTAGAGTCAGACAGATGTGGGTTTAAATCTCCAGTATGTTTTTTTTTTAACTAGCTAGGTGACTCTTAACAAAGTACTTAATTTCTCTGAGTCTCTCTCCTCATCTGTCATGTGATCCCCTAGCCTGGGTTGTTGGAAGGTTTAAATGAGAAAAATGAATGTAAAAACAGCAACTGGGTAGGAGTTCACCCACCGCTGACTTATGTAAGATATGAGCATCTTCTTCCCATCCTTCTGGTGATTCCGTAAGTTTAGACGGTTCCAGAGGGCAGGAGTTTGTGTAAATCACAAACTACTCATTTCCACCTTCTGAGCCTTCCTCAGGCCTGTCCTCTTGTCAGGGGCATGGACGTCCTCCCCACCAGGCCCTATCTTTCCCCTTCCTTCAGGAAGTCTTCCTTGCTAACATCTGCCTTCTCTCCCTAATCCTTCTCTATTTGGCCAATAGAAAAATAATACAAGCTACATATATAACTTAAAATTTTCTGGTAGATGCTTAAGGAAAATAATAAGAAACAGGTGGAATTCATTCATCTAATCCAGTTGATCAAAATGTTACCATTTCAACATGGGATTGATATAAACCATTATTGAGATCTTTTACATTCTTTTTTTAATATAGGTCTTCAAAATCCAGTGTGTATTTTATCCATACAGAACGTCTCAGTTTAGACCAGTCACATTTCAAATGTTGAAGGGCCACACACGGGTAGCTGCTCCACAGGTCTGGGGCCCTACCGATCTGCTCTCCCTCCTCACTCATCCTGGAAGTGGGTCTCATCCTTCCCTCCCTCGGAATGTTCCTTCCCCAAGGGGCCTTCCTCCACCCTCTGCATCTTCCTCTAGAGCCCAGGGGAGGATGCAGCACCAGGAGAAGAAGGTTCAAAAAGTTCTTAGGAAATACTGAGTGATGCTGGCCTGTGGGTGGTCTGCTCTCTTATCCTGCATGTGTGACTGTGTTGGACTGAGACTCTCCTGTAGGCAAGGCTTTGTGTACCTCCCAATGAGGTCTGCAGCTGAGGCTACAGCCAGGGCGGGGTGAAGCGGGAGGGGGCGCCCTTGCCCAGAACAGCCCTGCTGCTCTGTTCTCACCTGCAGCACAGTTGCCTTGGGGACAACCAGCAGGATGTCAGAGCCACCATCGGTCTCCTCCAGGGTCACCAGCTCATCCATGGGCCGTGGCTCTCGGAACTGGAAAGGGGGGCTCTGCCCACACACCCGGCCCTGGCGGTTCACATAGCGAAACTGGTAGAGCTGGGCTCCAGGTTTGGGCAGGTAGCTGGCTGTGGGGACAAGTACAGACCCCGGACCCCAATATGATGCCAGGCCCTCAGGTGCTCAGCAGACCCTCTCCCCCGTGGGGTGTCTTATTATCCACTGTCTTTGGCTCGCCTCTTGCTCCCTGTTCTATAGACTGTTTTCTCTCCTCTCCGTTTCCCACAGGCTATTTCTGACCCCTGGGATACTCTTTCCTTCCTTTCTGCCTAGCCCTCTTTCCTCTTTTGCCCTCCCCTCCTTAATAACAACAACAACAATGCTGTTGTTGTTTAGTTGCTAAGTCATGTCTGACTCTTTTTGTGACCCCATGAACCATAGTGTGCCAGGCTCCTCTCTCCATGGGATATCCCAAGCAACAGTACTGGAGTGGCTTGCTGCTTCCTCCTCTAGGGGATATTCCCGACGCAGGGATTGAACCCAGATCTCCTCCATTGGCAGGTGATTCTTTACCACTGAGCCACTAGGGAAACCCAGTAACAATGCTAGTTATCATTTTTTTGAGTACCCATTATGTGCCAGGCACTGTATTAACAGCTTTATCTGTATCATTTTAAATCTTCATATTGTTCCTATAAGCCAGGCATCCCCTTTTACTGTTAAGATAACGGACACAGAAAGGGTAAGTAATTTGCCCAAGGTCAAACAGCTTATAAGTATTAGAGCTGAGATTTGAAGCTTTCAGAATCTAATGAGCATCTTCTTGTTAAGCCACTTTTCTTGTTAAGCCACTTTTCCCTCTTCCCTACCTCCTAATTCCACAGGAGGAGTTCCCTCCTTTTTTCTTAGGAGCCAGGGCTATTGGCCCTTTACTGTTCCTTTCATGTCTGAACCCCTGATGCTGTGAAAATCCCATGATTCTATCAATATATCTGGTTAGCCCATTACCCACTTCCAAACTCCATCCCTTTGACCCCTCCCTCCCGATTTCCCCTCTTCCCTGTACCTTGGAACTGGACGCTGGCATGGATGGGAGAACCATCAGTAACACTTTCAGGCACCAAAGACCACACAAATGTGTGGTAATCCCGGACAGAGGCAGCCTCCACCTGTCAGAGCCCACAGTGGGAGAGGGGTATGGTGATGCACCTCCCAGGTCCGGATGGTGCAAAGGGCTGAGGGACTGACTGGGAGGCAGGCAGGATGGTGTGGCTGTGGCAAGGATGCTGAGACAGGGAAAGTGGAGGGATGCTACTGTGTCAGGAGAGAGCAATGTTAAGATAGGGAGAAGGTGGGCTTTGCTTACACAGATGGCCTTTGCCATTTCTGACATCCTTTTCCCTTCTTCCTTATCATTATAAGGTTAAGAATCCAGAAACCAAGTCGTTCCCCTTATTCCACACCACTCATGGCCCATAAACCTGAGCCTGAAGGGGACCTAGGGATACCTTGAAGATGCCAATCCAGTCGCTGGCACTGGGAATGGTGCCTGGCGGGAGTGTGTAGTGACATTCCACCTTGGTGTTGGGAATGTAGGTCCGGGCTACATTCAGAAAGTTGACTCCACCCCGGGATGGTGCCCGGCTTAGTGATGACTCTTCCATTCTGGTCTCGAGCTATCTGCCCTCCTGTGAAACAAAGATTTAATATCCTAAAAAGTCTCTCCCCTCTACCTCTCTGCCCCTCAACTCTGTCCCTACCTACCCACAGCCCCTGCCCCTGTAGATGAAGGTGGATCTGGTTTCCAAGCCCTGTGAGTTACAGGACTCTTTAAAGGTATCAATCTTTGCTTCTAGGGCATAGGTCTGGCCTTTGCTGTTGGTACACATTTTGTCTCACACTGCACCCTCTGAGTCATAGGCTTTTCCTAGAATTAAGATCTAATTTCTTCTCCCTTTTCACAGCCCCACTGACCAAGCCTCAGTACCCCAGATTCTGCTTCCTGCAGTTAGTCCTTCCTTTTCCATCTCTTAATAGCCTTGAATATTCCAAATTCTTCAGCCTCCATCTCCTCACCCCATCCCTCACATCTTCTGGCTCTTAGATTCAACTTCCAGCTGAGGCGTGGGGGCCCCCTCATCCTGAGCAGGTCTCCTTGCTCACTCCAGCTGTACCCAGAAATGACTTGTGACACCTGAAAACAGCAACCATCTCTGAAAGTAACAAGTCAGTCTTTGGAGCTGGAATGTGGCTGACCAATCCTGAAGCCAGTGAACTCTCACCCTCTCTTCCCATCTCTTGGCTGACTTATGCCATGAATAATAATAATAATAATAATAATAATAATAATAGCAGCCTGTACTCTCATCCAAGAGACAAAGGGAAAGGAAGGAAACACAGGTTCTCTCCCTCAATTATTACTCCAGAAAGTAAAGAATTCTGGAGGCGGCTGCTTCAACGGTGAGGTGGAACACTCAGCAGGAACGTGGTGCTGTGGGGAGATGGAATGTGGGGGCCTGGAGCCAGAAAAGTGCCACCCCCAGTAGGGATAACCTGGAAGTACGGGGCCTTGGGACAGGAAAATGTACACATAATGTTGTGAGGAGGAGAAACAGTTCAAAAAGAACCTCACATTCTTCTCTTCAGGTCTCGAGCAGGGCTTGAAACCTACTGGTTTGACTGTTAACCCATCTCCAGTTTTCCCCTTCCCCCTCATTTTCTCTGTTCCCCTTAGCCTCAATTCTAAATGTCTGAACCCTTCCATCTGCTTGGACTGGTAGTTGGAGGCATGCTATAGGATGGGATTAAGAAGAAAAGGTGTTCTAAGTTGGGTGAGGAGAATTCCCTGGAAAATCTGAGGGTAGAGTGAGGAAAGATAACAATAATCAAGAGAATTTGCAGCGGAGGACTGTGAGATGGCCCTTGTCAACTCTCATCTCCAGCCCACTGAACTCAGGCCTGTGTCAACCACAGTGATGGGCGTCCAACCAACCACAGCCGCTAGTCATGTGCACGCCCTCAAACATCACAAACCCACACCAGGCTTAAGTCAGGTGGGCAGGGACTTTAAAAGGGGACAGAAACTCAGTAGAGAAAGGAAGGTGGGCCAGCTCTATAAAAAGGAGCTACTTCTCCCTCCAAACTTGAGACTTAATTGACAACAAGAGGTGTCTCTTTATTTTCATCTCTGAAAAATCCCTAGTGAAAACTAGTCTATGCTTTTTCCCCTTCAATACAATTCTGGCTCTCTTAAAAGGGGTTGAACTGTTCTCAAAGACATTGTTCTGGGCACCCAGGACAATATTCCCCACAAAATTCATAACAGCTGGAAATATCCCCCAGGTTTGAAAGAGAGTTATGGGCACCCAAGGTGTGTACGTGTAGCCCGATTCAGGTGTTTGCATGGGGGGGGGGGGTTCCCCATCCCCCCACCACGCTGTAGGGCTCTAGAGTTCTTTGACATTCTACATCTTGGAAGGCTTCCCTCCCCACGGATCCAGCGTAGTGAAGGCCTTTGGATTGGTCGGGGGGAACGGCGTAGGGTGTAAGGGGAAAGGGAAGGTTTGTGGGGCCAAGTCTTGCTGGGCCGAGAACGAGCAGACTTCAGCCTCCCTCGAGTTCCCTTAAGCGTATCAAGCTTTGTAGAGAAGGACTGAGAGGGAGGCAAGAACCGTCAGAGGGAACCCCCGTGATTAGGCCCCCCATGAGACCAAGAACTCCCGAAACAGTGGGGATGGCTTCTCCAGTACGGAAAGTGTTAACGCTCAAACGCTCCTGCTCCCCCTTCTACGGTTCCCTTAGATGATCCTTTCACAGATTGGAAAGTGGGGTGACCCCCCATAAGATCGCCCCCAAATTAGGCCAAGTTTTCTTACCCCACAGACGGATCAGCTGTTCCCTCACCTTTCACCAACAACAAAAACAGCACTCGGACTCCGAGTGGGAGGGAGATGGGTGGGCGCGAGGGCTTCTGGGGTTTGTGGTTCCCCTGCCCTTTTTTTCCTACTGAAGCAGCGCAGAACAGGGACTACATATCCCAGGAGGCTGTGCGTAAGGAGGGCGGAGTAGAGGGCGGCCGTGGTGGCTGCCTTACCGCTGCATCCTGGGAGGCGTAGTTCTTACTTCCGCTGCAGCCAACGAGGGTGTGGCCACCAAAGGACTTCAAGGCCCAAGATGCCTTGGGAGGGGGCAGGCTATATTAGTGGCGACTGCTAGTTGGTAACGTGCGTGTTTAGGGGGTGGGGAGGAGTTACGGCTCTAATGCCCCTGGTATAATACTTTAGAGCCGGCCGAAGCATTCGGGTATACCCTCTTATTTACTTTTATTTCCTCTTTCATTTACTTTTAACACAACATGTGAGATAGGAAGTTTTGTTATCAACTCTCTATAGATGAACAAGCCAAAGCCCAGAATGGTTACGGAACCGGTCTAAAGTATCAAAGCTATGAGATGGTAGCATTGCACGACTCCGAGTGTCCTTGCTCTTACATCACGGCAACTCTACCATTTATCGGATAGGAAACTAGTATCTGTGGCAATAGTTTCTCTGCTTCAACATCAGGGACAGCCCCTGCAAAAACTATGTGTTGGGCACCCCTGACGATTTTTTCCCCCCAACTTTTAAGGTCTCAGTGCCAGGGGTCTGCCAATACAATCCTGGCCTGGCATCCCTGGAATGGCCTCTAGGTCCAGGAGGATCCATTGTCTAACGTGGTGGTTGGGGGAGAAGGGGGGAAGATGAAGTTCACGTTGGAAAGGAAACCTGGCATAGTTCAGGACGGGCCACAATTCAGAAAAAAAGCCACTTAGGGGACTAATTTGCCCAAGCCTCTTAACTTAAATTTAGGATAAGAGACAAATTGTTCCTGTTTTTGTTTAGGAGAGGTGAAAGATTCACACTCCTTCCTCACCCCGAGTTTTGTTAAAGACTTGGGTATACTGCTCCCCCTGTGCGTTCTGGACCCTCCAAGTAGCCTGAGATATTCAGAATTATCTCTCTGTGTCTGTCTCTGTATAAAGGAATTACAGTCTAAGAATTGATTTGCACTTTCTGGGTGCCTGCTTTAATTCTCTCCTGCATTGTTATGGAGCCTCTGCCTTTTCCAAGTTTGGGGGTAGTATTTTGCTTTTATGACTGAAAAAGATATCTGGTGCTTGCCCTTGGGTGCCTTTCATCTGAAGATGTCCAAGCACTTAACAATAAGTCATTGGGCTTCACAAACATTTAAGTGACATGTCTGTGTCATTAGTCAGGATTTATGAGTTAGGGAACAAGCTGCTGGTTGCTGAGAAGGCTCAAGGTCCTGGGGTGGATGCAGAATGAGGCCTGTCCAGGGACTCAAGTCTCAGTTGTTCTTGGTTTTTGTCTTCCACCCAGAATAAAGGCTTATAGGAAAACTCAGTTTTAGCTGGAGCTGGAAATAACTTCATTTATTTGGTGTTTACGATGTGTTTAAATGATGACTGCAGCCATGAAACTGAAAGATGTTTGCCCCTTGGAAGGAAAGCTATGACAAACCTAGACAGTATATTAAAAAGCAGAGATATCACTTTGCTGACAAAGGTCTGTATAGTCAAAGCTATGGTTTTTTCAGTAGTCATGTATGGATGTGAGAGTTGGACCGTAAAGAAGGCTGAGTGCTGAAGAATTGATGCTTTTGAACTGTGGTGCTGGAGAAGACTCTTGAGAGTCCCTTGAACTGCAAGGAGGTCAAACTAGTCAATCCTAAAGGAAATCAACCCTGAATATTCATTGGAATGAGTGATATTAAAGCTGACACTTCAATACTTTGACCACCTGATACAAGAGCTGACACTGGAAAAGTTCCTGATGCTGAGAAAGATTGAAGGCAAAAGGAGAAGGAGGCAGCAGAGGATGAGATGATTAGATTGTCAGATAGCATCACTGGACATGAATTTGAGCAAACTCTGGGAGATAATGAAGGGCAGAGGAGCCTGGGGTGCTGCATTCCATGGGGTTGCAAAGAGTTGGACATGACTTAGCGACTGAACATAGCAACAACAAAACCATGATAAGGATTTTTCCAATTAATACAACAGTCTTATATATAGGCATTATTATTATCCCCATTTTACATTTTCCATATGATGAAGATCGAGGCACAGACAATTTAAGGGAGTTACCTGGGGTCATCCAACTAGTAAGTGGTAGAATTAGGATTCAAGCAAAACTAGTCAATACACCATATTACCACCCTAGGAACTCCCGGGGTACTAACTCCCTTTGTTCTGATGAACAGTGCTGTTATTCGGTGGACAAGTGTTCACTGAGCATTTGTGTACACGGTGCAAGGTGATGTGAAACATTAATTCAGCTAATAGGTGTGTCAGGTAGTGTGCTAGGTATTCAGTACATTTTGTCGAATGGGATCTGAAAAGGATAAGCTTATGGCAGGCTGAAGCAAAGATACAGCAGTGGGAATGTATAAGTTTTTCTGGAGCCTAGAAAGTCACCTTCCGTGGTAGGTGGTAAAGAATCCGCCTGCAATGCAGGAGACCTGGGTTTGATCCCTGGGTTGGGAAGATCCTTTGGAGGAGGGCATGGCAACCCACGTCAGTATTGTTGCCTGGATAACCCCCATGGACAGAGGACTGGGGGATTACAGTCCATGGTGTCCCAAAGAGTCAGATACGACTGAGCAACTAAGCACAGCACAGCAAGGAAGTCACATGAGAACTGCACATCAATTAGACCTTTTCCCCTCCAAACTCAGATTATTGGTAATGACTGCCTAAAATGTTGTGTTGAGGATTCTGAGGAAAGAGTGCTAGGATTAATTAGTAATGTCTGCCAGGTACTCTAGGTGGAAGATGGCCATGTTAGGTTGACTTTATTATTTGAAATTATTTACTTTCTCCTTCTCTGCCCATTGCCATGTGGCTTGCAGTATCTCCTGTAGAAGGAGTATATGTCTCATCTTACTGACTTTGCTTTTTTAACATTTACTTTTTTTGGAGAAGGAAATGGCAACCCAGTACTCTTGCCTGGAAAATGCCATGGACATTCCATAGGGTCACAAAGAGTTGGACACGACTGAGCAATGACACGTTTGTTTGTTCTTGACATTTCAGTCATACAGGACATGTCTGGGTGCCTCCCCGCCCTCAACCATTTTGATGTCAATACTTGGATTAAAAATAAGAATTCTTCACCAAAAAAAACAAAAAACAAAAAAACAAAACAAAAACTCAGGAACCCTTAAACCAGGAGCCATCACTGAAAAATTTTTTTTTTACTTTTTGTATTTGGCTGCACCAGGTCTTGGTTGTGGCATGAGAACTCTTAATTGCAGCATGGGGGAACTAGTTCCTCAACGAGGGATTGAACTGGGCCCCCTGCTTTGGGAGCATGGAGCCACTGGACCACCAGGGAAGTTCCCTCATTTCACTGACTTTGCACTTGATCATTTTTCATGTTTTGGCCAATGGAATGTGAATAGATGTGACTCATGCCATGTTTGAACATGTGAATTTATACTTTCTTGTTCTTCTCTGCCGCTAGAATGGGCATAGTCCATATGAGGGTTGTTCCTTTTGCCTGAGTCCCTGATGACAAGAGCTGGCCTACATGTACTTAAGTTAGAGATAAATCTCTGCTGCCGTCAGTCACCGAGATTTTTGAGATTGGTTGTTATAGCAGCAAAGCTGACTAATGCACATGTCTAGGTAATGGTATCAAGTATGATAGATAAGCTTAAGCCAGGGTGTGGAGAACCCTGAATGCCAGGTAAAACAGAGCCTCCTATGTATTTATCAGAATCTCTTTCCTTCTTTTTCTTGGACTTAAAGCTGGACCTCATTTTTTGGTTTCTCTCTGATGTGTTGCACTTTCCCACCTGGCTTATGAAACCTCCCAAGGGAGACTCTTTATGTTCTTTCCTTTTTAGCTTCATGCATAGGACCTTATGTACAGTGATCCGAAGGTTAAACGTTAAAGATGATGGGGCTACAGGTTGGAAGGAACTTAGATCCGTGAATCACTACTCAGCAAAGAACTGTCTGCTAATCAGGAATTTGCAGATTGATTGATTATATTATTTGCAGCCAAAGATGGAGAAGTTCTATACAAGTCAGCAAAAACAAGACCGGGAGCTGACTGTGGCTCAGATCATGAACTCCTTATTGCCAAATTTAGACTTAAATTGAAGAAAGTAGGGAAAACCACTAGACCATTCAGGTATGACCTAAATCAAATCCCTTACGATTATACAGTGGAAGTGAAAAATAGATTCAAGGGATTAGATCTGATAGACAGTGCCTGAAGAACTATGGACGGAGGTTTGTGACTTTGTACAAGAGGTAGGGATCAAGACCATCCCCAAGAAAAAGAAATGCAAAAAGGCAAAATGGTTGTCTGAGAAGGCCTTACAAATAGCTGTGAAAAGAAGAGAAGTGAAAGGTAAGGGAGAAGAGGAAAGATACACCCATTTGAATGCAGAGTTCCAAAGAATAGCAAGGAGAGATAAGAACGCCTTCCTCAGTCATCAGTGGAAAGAAATAGAGGAAAACAATAGAATGGGAAAGACTAGAGATCTCTTCAAGAAAATTAGAGATACCAAGGGAACATTTCATGCAAAGATGGGCTCAATAAAGGACAGAAATG